CAACGTTCAACATCCCGACCGAATCCCAAGGTCATCGAGGTCAGGACGGAGACGGTCATTATCTCCGACCTCCCCGGCGACCTGCACCTGAAGGGTGTCACCTTCGACGTGCGACAGGGCGCGGGGTTGTGGATCATCGTGGCCACCACCACCATCGAAGCCCTTGAGGTGATGATGAAATGTTTTTCCGTGTGTTGTTACGTGTGTGTGGTTCCTGCTATTTTTGCTACACCGAACAATGTCGGACGAGGGATTCGTAGTCCTATGTGTTGATGTACCTGGTACGGTCCTACATTGCTACATTGCCCAGAACATGCTGGACTTCCTCCCAAAACCATTCGTTTGACACCCTTTTCTCCTTGGGTCAAGCCAACACTTGTCGGGTTGGGTGAGGTTGTCATGCGGTCGCCATTGCGGTGTTTCAGTTGATGCTCGTGGTGGTGTTGATCTGCCTTATGTAGGCGAGTGACGTCAGCATTTTGTTCAACGACGCCTTGCTTTTCTCGCTGTTCCTATCGCTGTTGCTGTTTTTTGGTGATGCGCTTGATGTCGTCTTCCATTTATCCTCGGGCAGGGGGACTCCGCGGAATTCTTCACGGTCGAACCGCAAGGGCACCTGGGGCTGTACGCCGACAGAGTTGGTCCCTTGCCCGACGATGGAATGGCGGTGAGGAACAGCGTTGTTGTCTGGTAGGTGTTGTTGTTGTTGTTTTCTGCGATTCTTTTCTTGATGTTGTTTATGTGTGTGCGTTTTAGCATCGACCGTGCCTGTCCGTTGACGAATGCAAATACGTCGGTGTTAACGGGTACAAGTCAAGAATGGTCGCCTTCCAGAATGCCGTAGTTTATGTTGGTCTCTTTACAAACCTTTTGCGAAACAACCAGCCCCAAGCTTGACGCGAGTCCAGTATGCGTGTACGTCTTGCATTGCCACCGTCGTCACTGACGTAGCTCCGGAGAAGGGATGCTTTCGGAGGGGTCAACAGCAGTCGCAGCAACAATGCATCGGCAAGCACTGCGCCCATGCAGTGATGTCTCTTCGAGCCGCAACAAGCTTGTTACGCGGTGGGGTCCGGTGCACGGAAATGTCGTGGTTTCGACACAGATGCGGTCGGCAAGCTCGTTTCGACAGCTGGTTTTGCACTTGAACTATCGGAGAAACTGGGTGAC